TCTCAATAACACGGTGCAGATATGCATCAATGACCTGTTTTGAAAAATCTGAGTTTATACAACAACAGCAACAATTTTTGAAGTAACTGCTTGAGTGCTGTACACAAAAACATCTAATGGAATAGAATTGCTGATAAAGGTTCTTTCTGCATATACTGAAACTGGGTATTATGATGTCACAGATGTCACAACATCTGTGTTGTGGTTGATAACATTTTTTCCTGTTGAAGTGAATGGGTGAAACCTTATCAGAGTTTTGCAATACAAACCCCCCGACCTACCCGCACATTTTAAACTATTAATGGTCTCTGCACTGCAAATGCTTCAGAAGGAGCAGAACCTCGAAATCAGAATCAGTAATGATAAGTTCTCTTACCTCATCAGAAAGCCACCGTGACCCCTGCAGTGTTCGAAAAACAACTTGTATGGTCCAACAGCTGCCTCCAAGCGCCCAGTATCCTTTGCACGCCATAGCCTCTTTACTAAAAGAAAAATATGATAAGTTAGCTTAGGCATGCATGAGATTTCTAGTGGATACGCTTGGTAAAGGCCGACGGGCCACAACAGGAAAAAGTCAATACAATAGGCATGCATTTACACGCAGAGAAATAGGAAAGGTACAGCGGGTGGGCAAAAGAGAAAATTACTGACAGGCAGATCCATTTCCAGACTTCCACAAGCTCAGTGCACGTTTCTTTACATCCAATATGAGTTGAAGACTGCAAAATGCAAACAAAGTCATGCAACAGTCAATTAAGTTGCAACGCCAAACTGGCAACAAATGACCAACTGGTCAAAAAGAGTTGTTCACTATGTCACCTTCATTTTCTAAGCTTTGTTTCCGGGAGGGAAGTTCTTGTTCACGCGTTTCTGGTCCTGGAACACAATTAAACTCCTTGTGTCAGCCATTTTGGGTGCATAATGAATCCTCTGGACTTTGCTGGCACTGAGGGTTAGCAGTAGGATGGCAGGGGGCATCTTCAGGTCTGTGCTGCTGTTCACTGTCTGACTGCGAGTTGGGTATTTTTACTTGTCACTGATATTTACATGGTGGCTTCTTCTGTAGGCTTGATATGGTCAATGCTGTAGTGATTTCTTAACGTTGCTCCTTCTGTGTTTTTTTAATCTCACACATTTGCCAGCGATGTCTTGAATGGTGTAGGGTCCTGAAAAATCTGGATCAAGTCTTCCTCCCTTCCTTCCACGTTTCATGTTCAAGAGAAGAACTTCATCTCCAACGCTGTACACAAGGTTTCTGTACTTCTGGACTCGTCTAGCATAAGCTTCCTTTTGTAAGTCTTGGGACTTTGCCATATTTTCCTCTACAGTTTTTTTTAAACTTGCTCTTGTGCGTCTCTTGTAGAAGATACAAAGTCACCGTAACTCGACTCCTCAGGGAGAATGATGGTGGAAAGCTAAAATGTTCACATTTTAAATTACAATTAGTCCACCACCAGCACCTTTGTTTTGGCCACATTCAGTTTCAGGTGATTCTCCTCACGAACCGACCAATCAGTCCTCTGTACTCCTCTTCCCTTCCCATTCCCTCTTTAATCCAGGATCTCAACCAGTTTGTTATGTTCTCTCTTATAACTCAACTGGTAAAGTAACAACACATTTTTGGTTGTTAGTAACTTACTTTATTAACCATGTTGTGGAAAGGCACAGGCATATCAATGCGCACATGCACCACGCTTGGTGTTCTCTACTTTACCACAAAATATAAACTGATTTTACTAAATACATCACAGCTCCTCCCATCCAGCTTTGATGAACATAAGTATCAAACAATCGAGATATTTTCAGGTAAATGCCGTAACCCAATAATTGTACTTAAACTGAAATATGACACCTACTCAGTGATTTACAACATAGAGGTAGGTTGTTTCCTCTTAAACATTTTAACTGCTTTCCTTACAAAATGAACTGGAAACCTATAAGTTCAGTCTCTGAGGTGCTCTGCGATTTCTCTCAGGGTTCAGGTTCAGGTGTTTGAACATTGGTGGTTTCACGTAAACCCTGAACCTCAGGAGTTAGGATCATGTAATTAAACTTTTTTTAAGGGAGAAGGCAGTGTTAGCTAGCAACCCAAATATAGGTAAAAGATCCAGTAAGACTTTAGCATCTGCTATTATTTTCAATCAATTCATCACCAAATGTATAAATAAATAAAAGATGTGCTTACAGTCTGAGGAGATTGTCCCCAACACCACAGATCGCATTCGCAACACTGTCCAGTGATGCTGCATCTCCCTGCAAAGGATCATCTCCTCCTCTCTCAGGCGCCTCACAGCCATCACCTTCTCAAAGACTTTCTCTTTGTCCGGAGGTCAGCAGCAGCTGCAGTTTAACAACATCAGATGGGAAAACATAGCAGCATATTATGATTCAAGAACAAAACATTCAACTGCTGCTCAGATACTGGGAGTTTGTTTAAAAAGGATATTTAGAAATCAAGAGCTTACGTTCACTTGTGCTCTGCCAGGGCCAAACGTCGCTCTGCATGAGGGCATCACTGGATACGATTTGCTTTGTTGCTTGTTTCCTTGTTGTAGTCGTCAACAGCAGCCGCCAAGCGTTTCTTCTCATCTAAGATGACCTTGTGAATTCTGTGTCGCCTCTTGTTGCTATCTGTAAATAATCATAAAAAGGAACACCTTCACATAATGCATATATTTACATTTTAATCTACACTCATCAATTCGTTTGCTAGAACAAATCACATCCAGCTTAAACAAACCTGGATCTGATTTTATTCTGTTTACAAAGTAGCTGTACGAGCTGTACAAACTGAGCATCAAACGGTCCGTTTCAAAGAAACTGTGACACCATTTTGTCTGTAAAGACTTTGTGTTCGCACTCTGATGATGACGACAAGCTGCTCTACTCGTGCCTGCAACGCTCCAAGGCTGCCATCAGTTTGATCCGTTTCTAAGTGAGAGGAATATTAATCAGAACACAGGATGAGTAACAGTCACCAAACTACAGTGGACTCTGTAATCACTGACTTGATGATATTCATTATAAGACATCTGGAGCCTTCATGTGCTGCATTATCATGAGATAACAAGTATGTTGGTGTTCAGCTTTATAAAACCAACTAGTACGACATCACTTCAACCCAGGTCCAATCCAATTTGATCAAACGCAACAACTCTGCCATCAATTCTGCTTTTACAAGCTTATTTTTCATTGTTTGTTGACACTGTCAGAAAGATCTTAACTCTAAGTTCTTTAATGAGGCCATGGTGGGTCCTGTTGTTATACACGAGTGCATTATATTGAGACTCACCTTCAGCCCATTGCTGCAGTGTGTCGTCATCCACACCCAGCTCATTTCTGCTCGCATTCAGGCTCCACTTGTTCTCTAAGGATCCTTATGATCTAAGAATACATTAATAAATGTCATTCATATGGACATTTTTAGAGTACTGGTGTTTTTGCCCCATTACCACACACATTAAAATGGGTGTTGAAAAAATGACCTTTAGATATCTCTGGCTCAAAGTGCGGCCCAGTTGTTCCACTTTCCTTTTGTTCCAGCCCAAAGCCAGGAGGCTCAGCATGTCTGTTCGCCCTGCATTTCAGTTAGTATACAAATAAGAATGAATGAGCAGGAGACTGAGTGGAATCTCACACACAGACACACACCTGCTTTAGACATGTACTTCGTTGTGATGGCCGCCCTAGACAGGAAACTGTTTACTTGCTCCACCTCTTCTCCAACTGTAGAACCGGCCCCATCCTGAAACGCACCTCCCCATTTGATCTATAGAAAGGAGGTCACAATACATGACTGCTGAATTCATTCAACCTTATAACAAAATGTCTTAAACGTATCCAAGACTACAAGCTGCAGTATACCTCGCACATCCAAGTGTGAGCTACTCAAAATGAAGTACACATTAAGATAAAGTCAAGTAAATAGTATTACGACAACACCAAGAGAAAAACAAAGTAAATATCCACCCATCCAAATATGTATCCACACACACACACGTATGAGTATATGGTTATGGCGTTAACGTCATTTTAACAAGATTAACGCTGACAGCACTGATATATATGTGTATCTTACATCATTTGTGTGTCTCTGGATGTATTTCACAAACTCAGCAACTTCCTCATCTTTCTCAATGAAGACACCTTCAAAGTTCCCCTGCTCTGAAGTGCTGAATGAACACGGTGACAGTTGTTTGAAAAGAAACATCAAAATACAATTTTTGTACAAATCCATATTTGATTTATGTACACAATGCATAACGTACCTTGCATTTGATTGAAAGCGATAAAGCTTGCAGTTTCCATCAACTGAGACGGCGAGCATGTCTGGAGTGCAGGCAGGGCAGCTAAAGCATGGCTCCTTGCACATCCTGTCCACCTCACACTTTACAGCACTCCACTCCAAGAAACTTTTACTGAAGGCATCAGCTGATATTCGGCCAGTCTTTTAAGTAGAGGACAAACAACAGAATATTCACGGACAGTCATCATAAACATTGATTTGCACAATTTCCTTAAACTTGACAAATTTAGAAACTCACCCTTCCAAAATGGGCTGTTCGTTCATCCAGCACTTTGACAAAGGCCTTAAGTGACATCCCTGCTGCAGCTTCTTAATGTCATAGAAAGACTGAAAGACATCCATTGAAAACAGGGTGCAGAAATTTAAGGTGCCAGGCCAATATCCACCACCCTGGAAGTCCTTAACTGAGGGGGACCACATTAGGCCACAGCTGGTGCAGCTCACCACTGGCAGTGCAAGGTTATAACAGCCTTTAGGAAGGATAAGGAGAAATCCAGTCATGGCTCAACAAAGACATTCATTTTTTCCCATGTTGTTTTCAAAGCGGTCTGGTAAATCCAAATGACCTTTGACAGGTGCCCACATATACTGCGGGCCGAGGGTAATTCAAAAAAATGTAGCAATGTACAATTTGCAATAAAACCTGCAAACACATCTATTGTGTATGTAGTGTGTGACAAAAGAGCAACTTACCATTTATGGTTACAAGAGCCACAATTGCACCGGGTGAAACCTCAACGTTACCTGCTGGGCAGTCACACACAGTCTGGTCTTTGCACAGGCAACAGCCGAACTAACATTAAAACACACAATATATATAAAAAGAATTGGAAATTAAATGATACACAATAAATATACAATAACAGCACACACTCATAGTACATAGCAATAAATGCATAGGACTTAAAAACTGTACATATTGGATTGTGAAACTCTGATGAAGGCTGCAAAAACCCTCCTGTTACTGCCTCTCTGCTGTGCAGGACAAAGCGTGTGTGAACTGCAATATCACAGTCAGCACAAAGGAATGGAAGAGGCAGGCAGTCCAGACACCTCACAACTACTTGTTTGCCACACTGACACACACGGTGTGACTGTGGATCCAGAGTAGCTAACATATTGTCTATAAGACAAGGCCTGGCCTCTTTCCACTTTAGCAAGGACACCATGTTTCTGATCGCCCAGTGAGTAGCAGCTGACTCAGACAACGTCTCACAAGTCATGGCTGCGTCCTCTTCTCCATCCTCCAACAACTGAAGGAGCTCCTGACGAAGCACCTCAGTTCCACACACTAACAGAAAAAAAATAAAGAAACTCTTCCACAAAGTGAAAAACACTCTAGGCAGTATGTTTCTTAGGACTGCACAAAAGCCCTGCCTAACTCAACTATAACAACAAATATAAAAGTAAAGGAATCACAATATATACAAGAAGGTAAAGTACCTTTTGTTGGGTTGACACTGGCAACATAACTAGGTTCTTCACGTGGACACTGATGCTGATCTGCAGACACTGGGGGGAAAAAGAGATTGAAGAATATTTACTTACTGAAATTCTTTGGTGAAAACAAGTTGTGAGATAAAATCAATGGTTGTGAGAACACTGACCACATGGCAACTAGTACTTCGACTGGATGATGGTCTTTGAGGAATAAAATCTCCCTGTCTGTCAAGGGCGGCATCACTTACATTTTGATTAGATACCTTGAGTTTGTAAATGATCAGATTACATAATTGGAATACAATGTATCCAATTCAGGGTTGCAGGAGGATGAAGCCTATCCCAGCTGATACAGGACAAAGACAGGCTGCCAGTTTATTGCAGGGCTAACACGATATGTGTAACAGAAAATCCACTTAAATGTTTGATATTTCTTATAATAATCATAATTATGACTATTATTTAAAGGTTTCTTTAAATAATACATTTTGATTTTTTATAACCTCTAAAATATAAACCTGAGCTGTTTCAGATTCTGACCTCTGACCTCACTGCAGCTCCCTCTTGGAAGTACGTCTGCTTCTTGTCTACCCCCAGTGATGACCGCCTGCCCTTGATATCACGTACTGTACCTGAGGAACAAAAAAGGACAAACACTTGCCTTCATTTAAGAAGTACATTCATACAGAGGTAATCTATGGAAACACACTAGTTCACCCTTTGGGAGAAATCAGTTCCTGTGAAACATTTCTGTAAATGAACATCATGTGGAGAATGAATGAAATGAGTTCTTCAGGTGACTCAGCAGTCCCACACTGACAAATGAAATCTAGTTAAACTATTAAGCATATTTGCTCTTCTGAAATCTGTGTTAAACAACAACAAACATAAATTAGTAACAAAAATACAGCTGAGTAGAGGCTTTACAAACCACCAGCAGCCATAATGCTAAATTTTAATCTTCAAATGTTTCTGAGCCGTCTTCAACCTGCTTTTAACACATTAAAGTCCCACAGTCAATGCAGCCTGACTCAATCCTAGATGTTCAGCACACAGAGACACAGAGGTGCCGTTTAAAGTTTAGTGATAACCTGAGTCACTGATCATTTGCAGTATTACAGAGTCTGGCAGTCTTTGCATGATGTCCACGTCACTGTGAGTTTCTAGCTGACTCTCAGGTGTGACAGGTGTGCCAGCAGGAAAGAGTAATAATAACCTGCATCCTGAGGTTTGTCATGCAGGATTAAAGCAGCCAGGCTTTGTTCACACAGCTAGGATTGTATTTTACACTGACCCTGGGTCAGTATAAGTATCATACAGTTTAAACGAAGCACTGAAACTTGCACATATTTATTACAGATGCACTGAAGCTAATCGAGATATTTGCTGTCAGTCTGTGGCTGCGATTAAACACTTTACTGGAAACTTTATTAACTAGTAACTTCATCAGTCATGACAGAAGCTAATATTTCTGTGCTAACATCGTTTAAACAGTAACAGCTTTCCTCCAATATAAGCTAACGTTTACACCGTAACTTTAAGCTAACACCATAAAGACGGTAAAACACGTAATAACATCTACAAATGCATCTTAAAGCTGTTATATTAGCACTCGGTGTATTACTAACATAACCACATTAACATTACTGACACTCGCAGACTTTTAATAGTCATTCTATAAATGCTGTCCGTTTAAATGGTCTTACCTGGTGGTCCATATGGTCCATAAGTGAAGCAGAGGGAGCCTGACCATGCGTCACACGTTTGACGAGTTGGGAGTGAGAACGTGTTGGGCTATAAGGAACACACTCACTTCCTGAGCCCTGGGCAATAAGAGACGTTTTGTGTTTTATGATTTATTGATATGTTTGATCCTTTCTGAGCTGCGTTAATGAAGCAGTCATTAGAGCACCATGTCCGCTAGAATAGTTCTGTAGTTTGATGCTTGAGTCGTTGCAGACTTGTTGAAACTCCCTCACCCGTCAAAGCAGCGTCTTTGTTATTCGCGTCCAGCAGATGGCAGTGTTTCACTGTCTGACGGCTGTCTGAAGCTTCAGCTGGATTATCCGTTTAAATGAGATCGTTTTATAAAACTTACAACCACAGGCCTGAACCTGCTTAGCTCCAAAGAGCTGGCTAAACGATGGGGCATGTTCAGAATCTTCCTGAAGTTTAACAATTTCCCAAAAAGCTCCACAAAGTGAATTTTCATATAAGACAAGAAGGAAAGAACAGGGTGTGACGTGGAAGGGGCACTCTGGCAAACAAATTACTGCTTTTATTAAGTTACAAAACTCGCAGTCTTGTTCACGAGTGATCAGAGAAGGGAACAGGAGATGGACAGATGGATCGGTGCTGCGGCTGCAGACTCTTCACCAGTCCCTCTTTACCAGTCGATTTACGTCCTTACCCTCTGTCACAACGGGACTGAACGGACTCACGCGTAGGCTCTGAGTAGGGAACAATAAAGGTTTTTTATTTACAGAAGCACCAGGTGATCTATTTACACAGTGGGGAAAAGACGGTGTTAGATATTTTGATACCACGGTAAGCATTTACAGGATATTGTTTTATACAGGAAAACTGTTACTCAATAAGGCCAATCTACTAGTTGTTTTTCTCTTTCTCTGTGACCCAAGAATTAATGTGTAAGACTCACAGGCTGGTACCAGAAGGTCAAAAACACCACAGAGATGAGACCACTTCTTTGCTCCCATCCTCCCTTTTTCTTTATCTCCTGGAAAAGGCTCGTTAAAGGCTAGGTGGTTTGTTTCAGAATTCACTGATGAAAGAACTCTGTATTTTATGTCTAGGAGTGTATTTTGCTGGGATGATCATAAATTATAGCTGAACTGATAAACTACACAAGGGATACTTTGCTCAGAAGGCAGGAAGACGTTTCCTTATTTGGTCTGTACCGGTTTGAACTGGGAAAGCTGACACACGAACCTTTTTCATCTATATAAACTGCTGTGTATCAAATAAACCTTTGAGTCGATTTGGGAAGACAACCTGAAGCAGTCTGTGTTTCCTTGTTCTCCCAAGCTGCTCCCGACGTCGTAACTAACCCAGCTGAATGGCATACCTGAGTGTTACTTTAAATAATTAGGAATCTTAGAAGGAAAGGACAGAACTCTGCTTATCGCTCACGCCACGGAGGAAACCCGGGAAGGCAATTTCCTTCAATTTTGGTGTCAGAAGTGGGATTACTGACAGAAGGTAAATATGCGTCTTTCATATTTATATAAAGACCTATTATACCTCTCTCAGTGATCGATCAATAAAGAAACGGGATATGCTGACGAAGTTTCACTTAGTGATCCAGAGAGATACACTGACTGACTTCCTCAGTCCCCGAATAAAGAAACGGGATATGCTGACGAAGTTTCACTTAGTGATCCAGAGAGATACACTGACTGACTTCCTCAGTCCCCGAATAAAGTAAATTAACCCTTGTGTGGTGTTGGTGGACCCGCTAGAGTTGTGGCTTTCCAAATTAACACTATCAAACAATTTCTTTTATATAAAATGTTATAAATAAATCAGTTATAATCAAGTGGAAAGACAACACATTTATACGTAAAAAATAATAATAATAATAATAATTAATTGTTTAATTTTTCTTTAAAAAAACAAAAAAAACAAAACACGGGTCTCAAGGGTTAAAAGCAGTAAATTAAAAGCAGAAAGACACAGGAAGTTGCCTGTTGTTTTGCGAGGAGTTGCTCGCTAAGTGAGAGTTGCTCACCCAAACAAAAATTGCTAGCAATAAATTTAAAGTGACCTCAGCTGTGCCGCAGCGAAAATACTAACCTAAATCCTCCTAGCGTGTAAACCCCTCTGGAAATCACTGAACATGGGTCAGAATTATTCAAAGACCACAGACAGGTCCGATAAAAAAATCTAAAGTACCTGTAAAACCAAAAATTAATAAAATACAAAATAAAGTCTCAAATAACGGCTCAGTATAACTCCCATTTCCGGTTACGTGTAACCTACGTCCGCGAATCGGTGAAGACGTCCATGATCACGTATCCAGAACATGCGGGAGTGCTTATGTGACTGACTTTGTTTACAACTTAAGAAGTTCAATGCATTCTAATTTCTTTCCGGAGCCTTATCCCGAACGATTATCGCCAGAAACCAGGTCAGTAGAAATGTTGAATATCATTTGTGATAAGAAAAGTAGTCTGCTTAAAAAGTCCTGTAGAATATATGATAGAATGCCGCGACGTGATACATCAAATGTTACCACTATGGAAAAAGGGACCGGAACCAGGTGTAGATACTTTTACATTAAATAAAACTAGTGCAGGCTCTGGCATAGAAAATAAACCTACCGCAGGAAAAGCTAGTCTTGCATGTTCAGCCTACAGCCCCACACCCTTACGAAGATGAGACCGAATTAATAGTTGCTGTAGCAGCTGCACGCAAACAATGTCAGCATTCTGATCCAACCAGCTCAAAAGAAAGCGACGAAAAACCTGAATCATATGCAACGGATCTTAGCCATCTCTTTAAACAGGATCAGGAAAAACAATATATACGCCGCAAGGAAGAATTAGCAGAACATAAAAAAAGAGAAAAACGTTTGAAAGAAGAATGTGAGGAACTTATGAAAAACAATTTAGACGACTATGAAGAAAAAACTTTTGCATCAGGCAGTGTCCACAATAGACACCCACATGAAACGCCACGATATCGTAGCTAGAGGTTTAGAGGTAGCTAAAGAAATACCTGTTACCCGAACTTTAATAAAGACTTATCTAAAAGGAAAAAAGGAAAAACAACACCGGAATGACAAAGGTCCTTACGCCAACACTCGCGGTAGTAAACAAACAGACCCAAAGCATGATAAAGCATCCACAACTGCAGAGTTTTTGTGGGTAAATAATGACAAAATCACCGATTTCTTTAAGAATCTAAAGAAATTCCTGCTAACAATGTCCAGAGACAAAATTGACTTAAATGCAGTAACTATGTGTAAACAGAAGCCTGATGAATCTATCCTAGTATTCATAAAACGCTTTATGCACTGTTGGACAAGCTAGAGGTGCAAATTTAGCTCAGTTTTCCAGCAGCCGCAGACACCCAGAGCAAAAATGAATTTGTGTATTTCATTTAACATAAAGGGTGAAATGTTTGCTGACACTGATAACAGCTTATGTTTTCTCTGCCCTATGTACCGACATGATGGAGAAGGAACATCCTCTGTGTCAGCTGGACCCTCAGCAGAGAATGAACTCAACATCCTTTTTGTCCGGTACTCTATGTCACACACTGTGCCAAAAAAACGTGTACAGACGCCACTAACAGGTAATCCCATATCTGGGAGCCACACTTTTGTTTCTCTCACACTGTTCAACAACATGATAACTGCTCACACAAGTGAAGGTCAAACAGTGATTTTGTTACATAACTCAGACATAGTTTATGACATAACTACACCATGTCGTCACATAGATCTAACCTACCCTATCCACTGTACTATTTCTGCAGTTACATTGCCAGCTGAATACCAGAATATGACATTGTGGTCTAAAAGTGAGAATGATATAGGATTTATTGACTGTACACTTTATCACGTACACCTATTAAAACACAACAAGCAGTATATGTCAAGCAGCATCCCATTTCCACGGAAAAAGCCGCAGCCCTAGATGTCATCACAGGAGATTTATTGACTACAGGAGTAATAAAGCCCACACTCCTGTCAATCCTGTGCCAAAGCCTAACAAACCTGGCGTATGGCGTTTCATACAAGACTTGAGGCAAATTAATGCAGTCAACATTCCTCTGCCACCTCTCGTTTCAGATGTTCACAGCATATTGACATGCATTGCATACACACTTTACCGTGGTGGAAGACACACAGCCGTTATTTGCATTCACACATAGAAATAAGCAGTACACTTGGACTCGTTTGCCCCAAGGCATGATAGACAGCTCTGCTGCTTTTTCAATGGTGCTTCACTCCTCCAGGGCTGCACCCTGATCCACATGTGGATGACCTCCTCCTCTGTGCTGAAAGTGAAAAACTATGTCAAACTGCTACACACATGCTTCTCCAGCACCTCCAAAAGACTGGCCACAAAGCATATGCAAAGAAAATGCAGTACTGTCAGACTTCTGTTCAATATTTGGGATTCACACTGTCTCACGGAAAACGTTCCATGACTGCAGACAGGGTCAAAGCTGTGACCTCTGTCCCTCGGCCCACTACACAGAAGGAAATGTTGTCCTTCCTGAGCATGGTGAACTATTGCAGACAGTGGATACCAGACTGTTCTTTTCATGACCACATTCTGCGTGACTGTTGTAAAAAAGACAAGCCTCCTCGAATACTGTGGTCCACAGAAATGACTGCCTCTTTCAATGCATTAAAGGGAGTGCTGACCTCCGCCACTCATAGGTGCTGGCTGAATTGTTCAGGAATGCCGGCCTGCCTGAGGGCAGTAGCAGCTTGCTCTATCATGATAAGGGACTGCGAGAAGCTCACACTCTCACATGACACTATTCTACACACCAATCACCAGGTCACGACCATTGTAGCAAACATAACTAAACAACATATGCAAATCTCACTATAAAAGCGAGCAGCACACCTGATTCGCCATGACATTTATTGATACTATTCTGTGTTCTTCTGACCGACAGGATGGCTCAGACAGGCTTGACGTTCATGACTGCATGACACGTATACAGGAATCCACAGCACCACGTCCAGATTTAGAGCAAACACCTATCTCAGACTCAGCCACGGTTTATGTGGACGGGTCCTGTTCAAGGCCGAATGACAACTCATTT